ACCTTCATCCAGCTAATTAAAGGTGGAAAGCTTTTAAGGCGGGATGATAAACCATGTCGGCTGCTTTCAACGGGAAGTTTAGGAAACGGATCAAATAAATAAGATTAAAACTGATGACTGTAATTTAAAAAAATCCTCTTTTGATGCAGAGGTGGAAAATAAATAGACTTGAAGAATCCGACTGTCCAAAGAAAAAAAAGCATCCGGAGTTGATCACATTCCAGCGGCTGCAGCTAGACGACCACTTTTATGCAACTCAATTTTTTTCTTAGGGCCAAAAAAACTGTTGAAACTGCGTTTCTAACATCGGACTTTATCACCACTCCAAAATAATCCGCCCATGGAACGTCTTTCAACCTGCTTCAAACGGTTTATCGATCAAACTGTAAAAAAAGGAATGACATAAAAAAAACCACGGGTTGATGATGTCATGTGTGATGCACTTCAATGTGGTTCAACGCTGAGTTCAAGTTCTGTAGGAGTTTTTTATTTTATCTCAAACAGAAGCTAATGATTTAATCTGAGCTAAAAAAAAATAAAATCTTATGAGGAAGTGAAGAAGTTTCAGACTGACTCCCACACGGCCTGAACTCTGCCGTCTAACGAGGCCCCGGAACCAACAAGCCGCCTCTTCGTTGCCTGTTCAGAATTAGAGAATGACTTTGTGTGTTTTTTATGTCGGTGTCAAGATTGTTGATGCAAAAATATTTAAAGAGGAGAGCCCCAAACCAAGACATTTAACACTAGCTGAACTCGGAGTGCACAGGAAGGGGGGGTGGTAGTGCACTACGAAGGGCACTAGATGGCAGCAGTGCACCCTGAGAGGAGAAGAGCAGTGCACTATGAAGAGTTTAAGATGGAAACCGAAGCCCTTTAAAAGAGTTTAGGACTAAACTAAGGGCTGGTTTTCATTAAACGTTGCACAATATTTAAAAAACGGAGCGCTAGGTAGCGCCTCCTGGAGGGCGTTAGGTTGAAGATAGCACACGATGAAGGCTGCAGGTCAGGAGGGGAACCCCTGAAAAGCTTTGGGAGGGCGGAGGGTGCTGTTTGAGACCCCGCCTTGGTGCCGCCTGGCAAACTCTACTAACCAATCAAACAGTGTTATTTGTACAGAACTAACAGCTGCTAACCGGCTGCTAACCGGCTGCTAACAGCTCTCTGTTGTCGTTTGTAATAAACTTCATTTTTCATCCGAAACTTCTCGTCGTCTCCTGTTTGTTTTATTACCTCTGGTTGTAGAACTGCTGCAAAAACCTGAAAAAAATCTTAAATTAAGTTTATTAGCCTTAATTTGAGCAGGTAAATTAGATTATTTGCTAATGGAATGAGGATTTTTACTCTTTAAATAAGAAAATTAGATAATATTCACTTGAAATAAGACAATATAATTACTTGTTCTTATTTTAAATCTAAATTATCTTGTTTCATTGGCAAAATGTCTCTTTTATCTCTTCAATTCAAGAACAAACGCATTTATTTTAGGTAAAAATTACTAATCTATCTTTAGATTTTTTCCAGTGCACCTGTGCTGACCAGCTGTGGGGTGGAGGGTAGATGCCATCCTCCCAGCTCCAATTGGTGACGGTCTTCCTTATTTTATCTCTGCACCGTTCTCCCAGTCATGCACTGCAAAAAAATGAAATCTAAATAAGTCATTTTTTCTTGCAATAAGTGAATTTTTCTTGAATTGAGGAGGTAAAAGAGACATTTTGCCAATGGAACAAGATAATTTACATTTAAAATAAGAAAACTCAATTGCATCGTCTTATTTCAAGTAAATATTATCTAATTATCTTATTTTAAGACTAAAGATACTCATTCCATTGGCAAAGTATCTTATTTACCTACTGAAATTAATGGTTAAATACACTTAATTTAAGAATTTTTTTCTCATTTTTAGATTGTTTTTGCAGTGCTGCAAAAAATTGAAATTGAGATAAGTCTTTTTTTCTTAAAATAAGTGCATTTGTTCTTGGATTGAGGAGTTAAAAGATGAGCCTTGAATGAAATATTTCCTACACTGAAAAAAATGATCTAAAAACAAGTAAAATGTCTTAAATTAAGTGTATTTAACCTTAATTTCAGCAGGTTAATCAGATGATTTGCTAATGGAATGAGGATTTTTGCTCTTAAAAGAAGATATTTAGA